AAAAAACACGGGGGTGCTTAACTTTTTTCCAGGTGTATATTTTCAGTGTAAGAAAATGTTAACTTCCAATACAGTCTTATCTCCCTGCACACAAAGCTAGAATCCCACATTGAAAAGGTGGAGGAGATGGAGTAGGCACCTAACAGTGAAACCAAGTGGAAAGACTGTCTAGAAATAACTGGTGTGCTCAGAGACAAAACTAAAGCACACACGCAGGGCATAGCACTACTTCTAGAATAGGTATACACTTCTCCCTGTAAGAAGGAAATGAATCTGAAATGGGAGGGAAAAAAAGGTTGTGCACAAGCTTAATTCATTCTGAAAGGTGCAATCCATAGTAAAAAATGAGTTTGAATCATCCTCCATCACACAAACCAGACCAGAAAACAGCAGGCTCCTATAAGTGAAGAGCCACTATATAAAATGAAAACTCAAAGTGAACTCGATACCCACATAAAAAGAAACGGCATGTGAAGGGACAGTTCCCAAAATATAATGATGGAGAAAAACATCTAGCCATGGCTAGGTATCTACCAAACCTCAACCAGGCAGATGACATTCCACAATCCATCCTTAGCATTAAGAGGTTGAGGATTACCCAGATAAAAACAAAATTAGAGTAACATAAACATTGTGATATATATGTACAACAACCCCCAACCATAAATTATAGTGTCTATGTCAAGCAAGTGGAATTACGAAAATGAAGGTAGCATTTGGCAGAAGCCGGACAAACTCTCAAAACCACTGTAAGAGCAGGAAGTACAACAAATCAATTCCGGCATTAATGGGTCACGTCGTTGTATCAACTCAACCATAAGAACAGAGCAATACCTGTAACCAGTATTAAGAGCAGAAATTGTAAGTCACCCAATCATAAATGCAGGGAAGATGCATCCTGCACTCGGAATTATGAGGAGGATGTGAAACATTTGTTCAACCATAGGAACAGTGTACATACATCCTGTAGCCAGTATTATGCCCCCCCCCCAAACTCAATTGGAGGAGCAGGGGAGAAAACCTCCTGCCACCAGAATAAACAAGAAGTGAACAAGGCAATGTATAAATGTGTGGTTGTATTGAAGAGTACATTTCTACTTCACACTCAGGAAGAAGCCTCCTTTGTCCACCACCCCCAGTAACTAGGAACTAGTAAGGACTCCCATGCTCCACTTGGAGAAAAAAAGGGGAAGGAAATGAGGTGGAGAGTCCGGAGGAACATTACATTAGAGAAAGTACAATGGGTGTCCATGATTCGCTATTTTGAAAAGCAGATTGTCCCCAATTTATGCAATCAAATACTCATGCTAGTCCATGAGTTATGGTCCACCATTGGGTTAAACTTACAGCTACCTAGAGACACATAAGTATATACCACTAGGCATGCCACTAGTGGTCTTGCAGAACACCCAATCTCTACAGTGAGTGTTATAGTTCTACCAGTATATAGTGCAGGTTTGAGTGAAAGCACACTTGACTAGGCAACATTCACCACAGAGTTGGATCCTATTAGTAGCAATAAAAAAAGGGTCCCTGAAAAGAAAACATAAATGAAATGTTGTTAAAAGGCAAACAGATGTGTGTAGAATTGCCATGGGAGGAGACAATATCCACTTGAGAAAGATACAGCCAGATGGAGCAGATTATAAGAAATGAAGGAATAGGGAGTAGTCCACATTTTAGCCTCAACAACTTCTCCCAACACACAGCTAATATAAGCAACCAAAGACATAGTGATGTGACAAATTTGAAGAGAAGAAATGTTGAAGAGAAGGTGACCTTTCATGAATAAGTTTGAATATGCCAGCCTATAAAGTTGATGAACACAACTAATTAGTTTTACAGGGGATATCTCATGGGAAAGAGAAGGGTTCCAGGAATAAAAGGTCGGGAATGTGAACCCCAAAAGTAAGCAGTATTTGCCACATAATACCTTAGTGAGCAAACCTGACAAAGAAGCCAATCAGGACTGGAATGGGAGTGCAGGTGGAAGATCGAAGATAAAGAAATAGGTGTGAAAGTCCAAGGTCTTAGGGATGAAAGACCAGACTGAATATAGGACGACATAAGAGGAATGGTAGAAGATTCTGGTAACATTAATAACATAAATAATCGATTGATGATGTCCACAAGCTAGGAGGAAAAGGAAACATGTAATATACCACATAATTGATTAACCAGCTGTATATGTAAAAATAAAAAGGTGTGGAAGGTGATAGAGGTGTAGAGTGTAACAGACCAAATGTAACAAGATGTCGACAAAAGTGAATCCAATTTTCTTCTCCTTGATCGTATTCATCCTCAGAAACATTGTCAGGTTGAAAATGAGAAGAAATCACTGGCCAAACGTAGGAATCTAGCTCCCTATGAATTAAAGCCTGTACCTCCTCATCAGATAAAGTCGAACCCAATGCCTGGGTAGTCATACCAGAAGTATTGTCTATCATAACAGGAACTTCCATTGTTGATACATGGAACCACGAAGTCATTCTAAGTTATCGTATAATTCAGTAACAATAAACAAATGCAAAATAAAAAAATTAAATAATTGAATGCAAACAAAGGAAAAGAAAACTGTTGAAAAAAGGCATTGAAATGTCAATGAAGTACAATCATAAATGGTAGTCACATAAAAAAACATGTATAAATGATGCTATGCCAATCAAGAAAGTGAGGATTGAGTGGGAGAATCAGATGGAGCTAGTTGTGCCAATATAGGTGGCACAATACTCTTGGTGAAAGGTGGTCACATGCTATATACAAGTTCAAAAATGGCACAAAATATGTGGGGTATATAGACTGGTGCAGTAAGCATTAAAATTTTTTAGCAATGCTTATGGGGCAGAAAGAATATCGAGATACTTTGTGTGAGAGAAAGTAAGAAACATCCAATTTTTAACAGGAAAAAAAAGTGAAGAATTAATGTGACTCCAATTACTTAAGAACATCTTCTGCTAATCAGCATTAATATATTGTTGATGTTAGGAAAACACATGGGTTAAAAAAATCAATTTAACATAAAGATACAAAACTCTATTATAACCCTTTATATGGTTTCATATATTTTTGTGTTAAATGTACTGTTGGATTAAAGAAAGAAATAATCGGCAACAAATATTTTTTTATTTTTGTATTTAAATAAAAATACATCTTATAGTTTATACTAACTTTTAATTACCAAATTATTTAAGTGACTTTAGGATAAAAAAAAATCATCAATGGTTCATAAAACTTGAATTTTTTTAGAGTTCAAAGCTATGAATAAGGGTCTTAGATATCCACATACAAGATTTCAATATGAGAAGAACAGAAGTGCATTTCACAATTAGAAAATAAAACACTATCATACCATATAATTATGACAACAATACAAGAAAATTACCTGCCATGCTCCAATTCCTCTGGCAGGCCTAGCAACAGGCCTTTGGTATACCTTACATAGTTTGAAAGCATCAGTTTTCACTTCCAGAATGTTATTAAGAAGAGCCCAAAAGGCAGCCAATGGATAGACGGAAGAAAACAGGAAAACATACCCAAACTGGATAAACATTTCCAAATAATCATCATAGGTGCCCTGTTTAAAACAAAAAAGTCCACCTTTATGATTAGCAAACTTCATGCAATCAAACAGGCAACATTTTTGAAACATTATAAATAAATTTAGAATCAAATATTTTTCTCAGTTCTACACATGAATAGGAGTGTTTTGCAAAAGGCTGAGTTAAAAAAAAGTCAATCTGTTTGCTGAATGTACCTGTATACCTATTACTATTATAATAGTAATACTAAACCTGTAGACCTGCTCTGAGATTAACAATAGTCCTAAACCTGTATATCTGCTCTAAGATTAACAATAGTCCTAAATCTGTATACCTAATTCTAAGATTAACACTATCCTTATAGTTGAAAGCCTACTGCACAGATAACACTAGTCCTACAGCTGTATAATTACTACCGAGATAACACTTCAAAACCTGTATAACTGCTACTGATATAACATTAGCTCTACACCTGTATACCTGATACTGAGATAACAACAGTCCTACTACTGTATACCTGCTACTGAGATAATACTTATTCTATATTTGTATAACTACTACTGAGATAAAACTAGCACAACCCCTGTATAAGATAACACTAGTCCTGTACCGTTATACCTACAAATGAGATAACACTAGTCCAAAACTTTTATATCTGCTACTGAAATAACACTAGTTCTACACCTGTATAACTACTACCAAAATAACACTAGTCCTATATTTGTATAGCTAGTACTAAAAAAATACTAGTCCTACAGTTGTTTACCCACTTCATAAGGCACCATATCCCTCTCAACCAGTGCTTGCTCTGTTCTACCCCAAGTCTCAAATTCTTCTACTTTTTCAGTGTGTTCATCAAATGATGAATCAGACTTAGTGGAAATGCTGAGTCTCCTAACTCTGGTTTGCCAATACTTCACTAGGAGAGGTAGAAATGCCTCTTGAAACTGGTTTATCAGCTGGTTGATAATCAGCATGAGAGCCAGTTGCTAACAAAAAAAAAAAAAATTCTCTCATCAACTGGCACATAATATCACAAGAGGTGCAGCTATTTCCATTAAAATCACAACTAGTTTTTACACTTAATGAATATGCTAGTTAACAATACTCTATATAAATGTGTGCAACAAAACAAAAAGATAATTAATCAGTTAACGTTATGTCCATGGGTTGGGGTCAAAATGCATATGCCACAACCTTTTAGAGAGTTCCATTCAACACGGTATTATGTATTTGATGTCAGAATTATCAACTATTCATTTTATCCTACATTTCTGATTTAGCAAAGTTTGTGGTGGAGTATAGTAAATACCAGATACAATATACAGAGATACTGAAAAAATGGTAGCAATATGCAATTTGGAGGCTATACAAATACAATATGCAAACTGTACAACAGATAAAGGTCTTTTTATTCTTCACATGAACATCACCTTGCACTCCGAATGTTTAGTCTGAGCTAATTTGATATTGGCAATTCACAGATATATTTTGAGTACAAATATCTTTTGGTTACAAAAGACTTTTAGATTTGATTAAATGCTTGCTACATTTCATGCAAATAAACATAGTAAATTCAGAATTATAGTCAATATTCCTCCTCCAATAGACAGACCCCATACACATTTGGTAAAATAAAAAAAATACTACAGAGAAAGTTACTACAAAGTTACTACTTAATTCAGAAATTGGGTGATAAAATGTGAAGATAACAGAATAAACAAATGTAATTCTCCAATTACATGACACCAAAACATAAAAAATTTAAAATAAAATAAAATAATAAATTGTTGTAGTTTTGGAAGATAAAACTCAATCAATGAGTATTGTAAATGGTATCCCAGAAGTCTGGACCTATAGGGAAAAATACACAATTTATTCTTAGTATACTGTGCCATCATGATATTTTCTTTCTTGAAATATGTACAACTGACATTAGAAATGTGTTTGTTTCACTTTAAAAATATAATGTATATTTCCCTAAGGGTCCAGACTTCTGGGACACGCTGTATATATAAATATACAAAGAGCTAATGTTCTCAAAGGGGGAAAATAACAATTTCTCTTGAAATACACAAAAACTAATGTCAATTTATTAAACCAAAGTAGTTTTATTGGTCAGTTTAAAACTGATAATTGTAAAAGATATGCAAGTCCCATGACCTATTAATGTAATTGTTCATTTAAGAAACAACAAATCTAATACAGTTAATTAATTGTTTTGTAAACAATACAACTATTGCGTCCACAGAAATTTCAGATAGAAATGATGGAAAAGAAATTCAAGTTTTTCCCACTCACCCAACGTAGCATCTCCAGATCTTTCAAGTAAAAAGCAATATAAAACAGACATAAGAAGTTGTTGACAAATTCAAACTGAAAAATAAAACAGACATAAGAAGTTGAGACTGAAAGAGAAAAATAAAGCAGACATATAAGATAACATTTTCTAACATTGAAAATATATTTGTGATAGTTACTTACCTCCTCTCCCATAAAACTATCACAATTTTCTTTCTGCCCTCTAAGAAATGCTAAAAAAGAATTTTCACACTCAGCACACCAGTCTATATACCCCACCAATTTTGTGCCACTATTGAACATGTACATAACATGTGACTACCCTCCACCAATAGTACTGTGCTATCTATATTGGCATATCTATCTCCCTCTGTTATTCCAACCTATTGGAAATATGTTTTCAGTGTAAGAAAATTTTAACTTCCAATACGGTCTTACCTCTCTCCTCACACAAAGCTAGAATCCCACACTGCAAAGGTGTAGGTGCACAACATTGAAACCAAGCAGAAAGCAACCACCCAGAGGTGTACTCCAAGATGAACTGAAGCACACGTGTGGAGTACCAACTACTTCTGGAACAGGTATGCCCTTCACCCTTGAAGAAGGAAATGAACCTGATATGGGTGGAAAAAAAGGATGTGTACAAGTATAATTCATTCTGATAGGTACAATCCATAGTAAAAGAGAAAAAAAACACCTGATGTAAGTATGGAGATACCCAACCTCAACTGGACAGATGAGGTTCCATAACTCATTTTGGTATTAGGAGGTTAAGGATCAATCAGATAAAAACGAATATAGAGCAACATAAACAATGTGACTAGGGCATGTGGACCATGTTACGTACGCTCGCAAATTCCAACAGTAAGTAAACACAGTGTCATAGGTAAAGTAACTGGAATTACAAAGAGAAAGTTGGCATGAGGCTGAAACCAGACAGACTCCCAAAACAACCATAGGATAAAAAAGTACAACAAAGTGAATATGGCATTAAGAGGTCACATCATTGCCTCAATTCAACTAGAAGAACAGAGCGATATCTGTAATTGGTATTAAGAGCAGAAATTTTAACTCCCCCAACTGTAAGTGCAGGAAAGACATCCTGCATCTGGAATTATGAGAAGGATTTGGAACAATCTCTCAACCGTTGGAATAGTGTATGTATTTTGTATTTCCTGTTGCCAGTATTACGGGACAGACAAAGTTCCCCAAACTCAACCGTAGGAGCAGGGGAGGAAACCTCCTGCAACCAGAATTAACAATAAGGGAACAAGGCATTGCCATCCTGCTCCAACTGACATTTGGTCCACCTAGGAATAAACATCCAGGAGAAAGGATATGAGGGAACCCAGCTTTGCCCTTTTCTCACTGAGTGGATAAATGTGTGGTTGTATTGTAAGGTAAGTCTCTACTTCACACTCAGGAAGAAGCCTCCTTGGTCCACCACCCACAGTAACTGGGAACTGGTAAGAAACCAGCTGCAACCAGAATTAATGATAAAGGGGGCCTCTACTGAACACAACCACAGGAACAGGGTGATATCATCCCAAACCAGGTATTACAAGGAGGATCCTGTGTAGGCTGGTCCTGCTGCAACTGACAACCATCCACCTGGGAATAAACATCCAGGGGAAATGGAAGGAGGGAAATCAGCTTTGCCCTCTTCTCACTGAGTGAATATATAGAAAGTTAAAAGTGGCAATGCTCGAACTACCATAAGTTCGAGAATGTTGATATGGGGAGGTAAGCACCCCAACTCTCTATAGATGCATTTGTGAACAGATGTAGATCCAAACAAGGTGGAGGAAGTGGAACTTCTGATGTGATCTAGTCCCTATCTAGCCACCAAATCAGGTAGACCCTGATTGGGGAAGGAAGAGGAACAGGGTAGTCCAAGGGACCTGAGTAGAAGTTCCATTGATCAAGGAATGTCCACTGAAAGGAATGCACAAGCTCAACCCATGTGAATGAGAGCCTCCAAGGAAGCTCACATCCCCTAAAGAGATAGAACTTCTTGAACTGTGAGAGAATGTGAGGTGAAGGCCTTGTGGACTGCTTGCTCCATATCCCAAAGACAAAGAGGAGAATGCTGGGCCCAAGTAAGGTTGAATTTGAAGAAAATCCCCATCTTTTTGATCATCCTGAGTCCCTGAGAAACACCTACTGAAATGAGAGATAGGACTCCATAGTGAAGCGAGGGGGGGTACAGAAAGGAATTCAACTAAGACAGATCAATGATAGGACTCCAATCTCCCATTTTCTTGGGAAACAAAAAGAGACAGGAATAAAACTACAGTTGTATAGAGCACACCTATTCGATAGACTCTTTGCAAAGCAGGTCTTGGACAGCCTTGGTAAGATGGCTGAGAGATGTAAGATCCCGTGGGGGTGGGAAGGAAATAGAGAAATGGGAAAGTCGAGGTGGTGATTGAAATTGAAGACAGAAACCTCCTGACAGAACCCATAGATCTGTCATGAAATACTGCCACATGGCAGATAAGTGGAGCAATCTGGCACCCACCAATCCAAAAGCCTCCGTAGCATCACTTGTAATGCTGGCATCGGGTATCCAGGGTGCGGAAACAAGGATAGGGTTGGGAGAAAGGCAAAGGCCTGGGTGAAGAAGAAGGAGAACAGGAAACAAGAAAAGTCACGTCATGGGAGGAAGAGGGAGGGGGAGATAAATGTGTGGCTAGAGAAGACAAGGAAGAATGCAATCTAGCCACATCAATCCTGGATTCCAAGGAATCAGGACGACCCCCAAATACAATATTGCATACGAAAGGGGTCTAATGCAGATCCAACAGGGATAAATAGGGGAGATGCACACCCACAAGTAATGCATCACTCCCCAACAAGTCCCAACGGCATATGAGACAGGTATCAAAGGAAAGGGCAGAGGCCGATAAATGAGCCATAGTGGACCAAAGGAAGGACCTGAGCTCATCTGAAAAAAGTTCTGGGGAGCAATGAAAGGCATCTGACAATAACTGAAATATGGATCTGAAGAGTGATCGTATGCCAAAGCGCATTGGTCTGACAAGCAGGTGAGATGGGACATACTAACACATGATTGAAGCTGGGCTAAAAATCTCTGAGCATCAACCTTAATATCGGGAGAAGAGGGAAATACATAAAATTCAGTAGAAGGAATTTCACCCAATAAGGAAGGGGAGACATCATAAGCGATAGGGGAAACATGTCAAATACCACATACTTGATTAACAAGCTGTAAAAAAGGAGTGGAAGGCAAAATCTCTTGAAGAGGTGTAGATTGTGACTGATCAAAAAAGAAGGTGCCAGAACAAGGGAGTCCAACTTTTCTTCTCCTTGATTGTATTCTTCCTCAGAAACATTGTCAGGTGTAAAGAAAGAAGAAATTGCCAGCTGAACATATAAATCTAGCTCCCTGAGAATTAAGGCTTGTACCTCCTCTCCAGGTAAAGTCGAACCCGAGTCCTGGGAAGTTGTGACAGTAGCGGTATCAACTGTAACAGGAACTTCTGTATTCAATATATTGAACCTAAAATTCATACTAAGTTCACTTAGAATTCAGGAACAAAAAACTGAATGCAAACACAGAAATTGAAAACTGTTGAACAAAAAATAAAAAAAAAATTCAATGGCAAAGAAGCTCAATCAGAAGTAGTAGCCATACAGGAAAATACACACATCATTCAACCATTAGCTCTTTTGACGAAAATTATAATAAACACTTGTAAAATTATCAAAATGCATGTATTTTTTATGAAAGAAAAAAAATAAATACAAACATAGTCTGAGTTAAAACAAAAAATATAAAACACACCTACATACATATAAAGTGCACACCATAATTTGTAGAAGTATAAACATCTCTTAAGTCAGTTTTGTTTAATTTTAGATCTAAAAATAAATCTTTGGTTTCTGCAGCAGCAAGCTAACAATCACAAATAAATTTTAACTCTGATAAAAACTGTTATTCCATAAGAAACAGCATGCATCTTACATACTTGTATCTATCTAGTTTTTACAGATGAACAAGATTTCCACAGTTCTAGTATAAAGATACTTTTGAGTTACAAAAAAATCATTAAAAAGAATTATATCAAAATTGGTCCCTACATGTTCTAACATTTTCCTCAAATGTATTTGAAAATTTCAGGAAATAAGAATTGGATTAGCCATTTTTCAGAGGCTTTATTTGCTGACAACAACAGCAACTATTATTACAGTTAGCACTTACCAACACAAGCTTAACAATCCTGTGGTTATCAAACTTTGTTTGGGTGCGATGATTCTCTATCAAAATAGAATGAAAAAATTTAAATATTTAAAAGTAGAGTTGAAATGTTAATATTGTTAATGCTTTTACAACAAACTGTTATATAAAATAAGAAAACTTGTAACTTTTGTAAATACAGGTTACAAGTTTAGTATTTTTTTTTGTGTATAAAAAACTCAATGTGAATGAAATTTTCATATAAAATTTCACATTTTCAAAAGTACCATAGAATATCTGACAAAAATTTTTGTTTGTCAACAGCTATTTCTGGGACTAAAAAGTGCAACATAGACAAAATCTAAAAAATCATCTGAATTCTTGTAGTTTTGCAAAAAATCAAAGATAAAATTTTAAACATTAAAGCTGTTCAGGTATCAACACTAAGAGACGTCCATTATATATTAGTAAAGGTATTAAAAATTAAAACAAAATAACAAAAAAGTATTAAAAAATCATCATCACAGCAGAAAGAATCAAGAATATAGCTATAATAATAAGTATTTACTTGTTTTCTTTGTATAAAAATATATTCAGGCTTATAGTTGGAGTAACTACATTGAATAACATAAAAAAAATTCACCAGGAATCTAGAACCACACACACACACATGCTTTTCTGGCAGTTTTTAAGACTTGTACTAACAACATTTTCCATCACAGTAGAAGCATAACCATATCTTAAAAATTTAGTTTCAATGCTTTATTAATAAATAATGTCTCAAAACCACTAGAAATTAACATTCTTTTTAATTCATCATATACAATACCTAAATACTACAATAAATTAATTGTGATTTAAATAGCCTGTTGAGTATACAAATTGTAGATGAAAATTATTTCAGGAAACTTGAAATACAATTTTTATTTTATTTTTTTTTCTTTCACAGTAGTTAATGTATCATGACAGTTTCCACACAAGCTATAAAATACACCTACCCCATTCAGTAAGACGGGTGGCAAAATGACGATAACCAACATTAAGAATAAACACAATTATGGTATAGACAATTCCAGGTAATTGAGTCATGGCATAACTAAATGGATCTTCAGTGTCTCTGTAGAGTTGAAACACATACTCTTCAATCCTAATGTACATCAGCATAATGAGTATAGCTACAAGTAGGCACAGGAACACTACTGGCAAGGAAATGCAATAAACCTATAGAAAGTTGAAGAAGACAAATATTTATAAAGACAAGATAAACATAACAGATATAAATATTTTAAGAGAAAGTTTTCACATAAACTAGTCAATTAAATAAATAGCAGCATCATTTAATATCTCTCTAATTCTCTTCAAATCCAGCAAGATTAAAAAACTGATTTTACTTTATAATTTGTTTTTACTTGTTTTTATTTTATTTTGTAAATCCTTTTAAATGTTTGTTTATTCCTCAAATTAACGTGATGTATTTTCAAAAACATTTTACCTGTACAAGTTATAAAATATTAAAACATTCCAATACAGTGAGAGAAAGTTTCCAATTTAATAATTCTAGTGAAAATTTAAACCTTAAAATATCTTTTCCATGGAGGATACATGGGAACATGACGGCCAGTAACAGGATCTACAGCCATGCACTTTCCTCGGAAAGTAGAACGATGTTCTTGGAAAACCATCATGTTGATTGTGCCCCAAGAGTATGCTAATTCATTTGATCTTCTTTTCCAGGATTCCAGGAAAATTGTAACCCACAGTAAGTTAAAAACAGCAAAGAAAGCAGAGGTGTGTAATGTAATGCCTGTAAGAATCAGCTGTAAAATTCCAATAAGAGCTGGTGGGACCAAAGCCCAAGTATAGAAGTCCAAAAAGGCAAAGTAAAGGCCACAGCTTCACCAAAATATCTTCGAATATCCTCTAAAAATAAAATAAAGATGTTAGTACTTCCCATTAACCCTAAAATACCTAAGGTCACCCATTCGTATGGTTTGTTTTATTTTATTGCAAAAAAAACAAAAAAACTAGATGAAATAGTTTAGAAATTGAGATAAGGTTTCTAAGAAGTTTGTGTGAAATAAAATGTTTTATTTTTACATGTGATATTTGTATGAATTAGCAGAAACACCACCCTATAGGCAGATGTACGCGCCTTACAGGCAGCTGTTTGTGCTGGTAATTAGAAATTGTAGCATTCATATCTCATTGTACAAATTGTAAAAGTGAACATTTTCTAAAAAAGTATTTTTTCTCGGAAGTACAGCACAGGAAGTGTTTGGATTGTGCTCTTAGTCATACACAACTCATTGCATCAATATGATTCAATGTACAGAGTTCAATATTTTCATAAATTTTACTGATACAAACTGTAATGTTTTTATACATTAAAAGTGCTACCCTTTATTGAAAAAATAATAGTTTTTAAGAACTCCAGTTTTTTAGTATTAAATTTAAAAATTACATCAATAAAGATATAATCAAGCCCTCACATACAGTCCTAGTGAAAGTCGGGTTCTTGCTGAGATGAGAGTGCTTTTATTTACTTGTGTTCTGTTATAAAGTAATGGTTGTTGGCCATACCATAATTATTTTTTTATTTGTCTGAATCTTTAATACCCAAAGTGCAAAAATTTTTATGGATTTTTGTTTGCGGTGCCATTCACTAGATAGTGTCACATTTCATAAGTCTCAAACACCACTTCTGGCATCGAGATCTTGTTGTATTTAAACACAACAGATGGCACCATTGTATTTATTATTTTGGTCACATAGATAGATAGATGGCCACAACACTGCTCCATTATAGTAAGATTCTCAGCTTTGGAAATTAAAAAAAGATTTGTTTGTGAAATGTTTTTAAGAAACAATTAAAAATGCTTGCGTTTGTTGTAGATATTAATTATTGAATTTTATATCTTCCTACTTCTTGTAAGGCTTTCCAATAAAGTTTTTATTTTATGAAACTGTAAATTTTGTCTTTGTTTTGTTTCAAAAAACACCCCATGCAGCATCACTGTATTTATGATCACTGTTGTAGGATAAAAGCATATTTTATATTCACCAAAATTATAAACAGTACAGTTGTTTTTAAAATATTAATTAGAAGGTTTCATTTAATATAATTATTAAGTTTTAAACCTGTTTATATTCATATATATATATTGTTTTACATTTCTTTTCAGTGATTTTCTTTACCCATTCAAGCAATTACTTAGGCCACCATTAAAGGTATAATGTAAACACAGCCTAATAAGAAGAAGCTTTGTTGGTAAAATGAAACTACACCTGATCTTGTTTAAAAAAAAAACATTTCTTTTCCTATCATGCTGCAATATAATAATTCAAATGAAAAATAAAAAAATAAAGCAAATTAGTAAAAATAAACTTGTATTGAAATTAAAAGGTTCAACTTGGTGCCTTTTTGTTCAAAACTATTTTAACTTTCTACCTAGTGGTTATGAATGATATATTATACTCAGAAATAATTCATGAAATTCAAAAACTAATTTTTTCATTCAGTGCTGAAATTTAAATCTGTATGAAAAAATTATGTAAACAAAACTTCTTCCTTGAATAAATTTCAATGTTGAAATATTCAAAAAAGTCTGTGAAAGAACAGATTTATTTTCTATAAATTATTTAATTTAATAATAATGGTTTAATTTTACCCTCAGATAACACGAACAACCTGTCAGATACAAAAGGGTTAAAAGGAATCAACAAACAATCATATGTTATAATTCGTTTTTTCTAAATATAAATAGGTCTAATTATTCTTTCTATTTAAAAATAATGGAAATAACTTTTATTAATAAATGGGTAGTATTATCTATTTTATTTAATACACTTGCATATTGCACAATTTCAACACTTGATCTTGAACACTAACTGATCATATTCCATTTTGTTACAGTTTATAAAGTGACGGCTTGAGAATAGTTATTATCCATACTAGTGAGTATTCATAATCAAGGAGATCATTTCTACATACCAGCTTTCAGTTTAAAAAAATGCTTTAAGTAAAAACTATTAATATTTAAGTGCATCTAGTTTGATGACATGGAAATGAATTATAGCTCTACACTTTTCCAGACATACCTTATTTCCTAGGTAGTTTATTGCACTCCTGGTATTTAAAAAATATATATTTTGATAAAACATACTTTAGTTTGTTTTTTTTCAAGAAAGAATTTGGCAGAGCAAATAGTACTAACTTTCAACCTCCACTGAGCTGCACCTGCCTCAACTTTTATGATGGACAACAATTTTACTTTTAAGAAGAAAATATGATTAGTTTAGTGAAATTTTTTTCACATTACAAACAAAACATGAAAAAATTCTTCCAGAGAAAAACAAAAAAACACAACATAAATAGTAGAATCTATTCAACATCTTGAATAATGTTTTACAGTGAACGCATGCATATAAGATGAACGTTATAATATTCCTATACTGAAAATATATTTCCAATAGGTACTTACATCCTCTCATATAAATAGCTATTTTTGTTCAGGACTGCCCTCTATATGCAAAAAAATGTTTGCATGCCACAAGCCTTGAGCTCCCATGTACCTTACAATCAACTGATACAAATGCATCTCATATAAATAATCATGCGACAACCATTCATCAATAAGAGCAAGACACACTCTCCTGATGCATGTGACTCCCTATATTCGATTCTACTGGCAGAAAATGGAAGCACCGGTTTTCAATGGGGAAGAAGGGTGGGAGGTGTGAAAGAAAGTAAGAACCTATTGGAAATATATTTTCAGTATAGGAAAATTATAAATTCTGATATGGTACATTACCTCTTCTCACATAAATAGCTAGAATCCCACATTGAATAGGTGGAAGGACTGGTGTGAGGGAAAACAAAGCAGCATTCCTCAAAAGCATCCGAAAGAACACCCTAAAAGAATAAATCCTCACAGTAGATGATCATATGTGGGAAACCACATCACATCTGTACCACGTATAGTCTTTGTCCAGTGTAAAATGAGGTGTCAGAAAACATTGGCTGAAAAAAAAGGAAGGAGCACCTCTCTACAGAAGAGAACAATGGTGGGATAGGGATCCGAAACAACACATAACAAATCTCAAACCTACAGAGTAGTGGAATGTTGATGAAAGTAAAAGGATGTGCCCTTAGGTGTAAAGTGGCTGAGGTGTGACAGACCGTACATGGCAAGTCAAGTGCATCGAAAACCCAGGCTGCTGGGAACTGACATCCATGCAGGGATAGGATGAGGATCATACTATCAGTAAATCAACTACAATCCAAAACCCAGCCACCAAGAACTGATATCCATGT